TTCGTGCTTTGAACTTGTATAGGTGTGTAAGAGGTATAGCAACATAGCATTTATACGGACCCAGGGTAGCTACAATTCTGTTCCCAGGTATCGCGCGCATGAGGCTTCAAAGCTGTGTTTTTCAAGCTAAGTTCAAGGTGGCCTGAGACCAGGGCTTGCTGCCCTAAAACACTCTGTTCAGGCCACCTTAAAAATGAAGGTCTGCGAAGCGAGAGCAAAGGATGCACATTGTCCTTCTGCTGCTTGAATGTGGCCTTTTGTTTACTTAAAATTTCAAGACCTCCCTGCTGTTTCCACCTCTTCGCTTCCCAGTCTTCCCAGGGTTCATATAGGGAGCCAGGCCATTTTCAGAATCTTATGGATTTGAGCTGTTCGAGTTCCTATTGAAGGGTATCGTTGGCGAGTGCGTCACCACCCGCTCCAAAAGCATCAAAGCATCACCTCCCAGAATTTACGTATATCTTTCTCGAGCCACACATGCACAGCAAGCCACAGCTTTGAAGTCTCATTCGTGCTTTGAACTTGTATAGGTGTGTAAGAGGTATAACAACATAGCATTTATACGGACCCAGGGTAGCTACAATTCTGTTCCCAGGTATCGCGCGCATGAGGCTTCAAAGCTGTGGATTGCTGTGCGTGTGTAGAGGTTATCGAGCGGTTGACGGAAAGGGAACTTGAAGTATACTCTACCTGGTAGCTGCACTATAGCTACCCTGGATCTATACCTGGCAAGGTGCCAACTACACCTTTCCATTCAGATGATGCAAATGATGCAAATTGCATTTCTTGCATCACCACCCCTCAAAAATCACCTCCAACATAACCTCAAAAAACCATCCCTCGACGCACCCTCCTCCCCCAGCATGTGCCGAGTTTACGTGTGCCTTTTGCGGGCCACCCGCCCCAGACCCCCTAACTACTCACTTCGTTCGCCAAACACAACTCAGCTAGCGCCTTCTACGAAGGCTGGCTTTCGTAATATGGCATACATGGAGTGTCTTGGGTATTTTTTGGCAATGGGATGCACTAGGGAACCATCACATTTGTCTACTTTCTGGCAATACAGTTCTCGTACTTGCTCTTATTATAAGGACAGGCAGGTGGCAAACCTGACTCCCTCCGGTTAGCTGAACTTTCCACCCGTTCTCATGGAAACCAACCAAGAAGGCACAGGTTGCCCAGGTTGCACGTCTCCCGTGAGAATGGCATGCCGCACACTCCTACAGCACTGGACTGCCCATCAGGCCAAGAGTGGTGCCAGGGGGGGCCTTTATGGCAGTCCCAGAGAGGTCGTGTCTGGGGCACTTCTAGCCGTTTCCGGTCCAAACCATCGGGGAGTCACTCCTGGGACTTAGTTGCGCGCGCGCGAACACGAGCGTTCGGGGGGTCACGACCTGGCGCCGTCCACCCGCCTGGCGTGGGACTCGGCGCGCTTTGCCAGGTTTGGGCCTCGGTGCTCCGTGCGGACTCGTCTGACCCAGAACCTGGTCCAAGAAATGTCCTGAAAGCCTTACCCTAGGCTTCCAACCACCATTAATTTAATAGGCTTTGCTGAATCAACTAAGGGTTTTACACTACAAAAACCAGGTGAACCCTACACCGACTTCGTCGTACGTCCTCAGGTTCGGTATGACTGGACGTACCTCCCAGGCACCCGGGCCGGTCGTCCCACCGAAGCTCCGAAGGTACGACTGGAGGGTTATTGCACATGTCTGGCATGTCTTGAACCCTAGCCTTCAAAGACCAAAGAACGGTTGAGCTGGTGGTGTAGTTTAAAAATCCTTAGTAAAACAATGGTTCTTTGGTAAAGACCATTAAAACAATGGTTGTTTGAATCCTAGGGTGAATATTCTAATAAGATGAGGTCCGATGGACCTTTTCGGGGGGAATCTCTTCGCAGGCACCCAGGTCCAACTGTGCATCCTTCGTACGAAACTGTCTCCTCAGTTGGCCATCCTTGCTGCCATCCTTCCAAGTCCACTCTGAGTACACCCCTGGAATCATCATGGTGTCACGGAGGAGTTCACCATCAGCTGAACTCATGTTTCTTGCGATGGCCAACGGCAGTGCCTGTCACTTGCACTAATTCCTTTTTTTCAATTGCACAGGACCTGTTCCCAAAATCATGTCCCATTGTGGCGTTTTGGTCAAAGCCGGCGAAGTGTAACTCTTCGGAAAATGGTCCTTGTTGGGGCCATCCACGTAGTTGTTGGGGCCATCCACGTAGTCGTTGGGGCCATCCACGCACTCCCTTTCTCGCTCAAACCACCGTCTTTCATCCGGAGTTGCAGCTCGTAACCGGACCCATGAACCGGTGTTCATCCGTTTTCACCCAAACTTTCGGGGATCTCCACCCAGGACACTGGGCATCTTCCGCTTAGGCCCATCCCGCAGGTTCCTCGTGTTCCGCCCTAGAGGCCCTTCGCACAAAGCTCGGTCGTGCGGAGCTCGGCGTGGTGCTCCACGTCTGGGCCCGACCATAGCCCGGCCGCCACATCGGCGGCGGGTGCGTCAACGGCGGCATGCCCGGCGCCTGCAGCATGTGCGGTCCAAGGCGATCGCTCCTGGGCGAGATGGCTGCGGAGTGGTGACGCATGGGTTCGAAGCGCTGAATCCATGAAAACTGGAGCTGGATTCCATGCCCTAGGGATCCAAGTACCTCCTCAGAAGGCACTTGGACCCTCCAAACCTACAGTGTCTCCGTCCTCACCGTACCTGAGGTTGGGTACGACTGGATTTCTAGGGATGGATGGTTGAGTTCAAAACGCCAAACGCTCCGTTCCATCAACCCCGATGCGATTGTTCCAAAGCCGGTTTGACCCCCGCTTCGAGGATCTGATCCCTGATTCGGGTCCAGGAGCAGGGCCAAGGAAGCTTCAGTCGCGCAAAGAGTGGAACCAAATGACTTCCTTCGCTGCGTGTCGGGAAATGGACACGTGATATACTGCCATATCCCAGACACGACCTATGGGACTGCCATATATATGCCGATCAATTGACCCCTCTGGCACCACCCCAACTGATCGGCATTTATGGCAGTCCCATGGAGTGTCTGGGTATCAGAAAAGGCCAGGGGTAGTGCCAGGTCGTGGTCTTTCTGGGGTGGCAGTCCTTATTCCAGACAGGTCGTGTCAGCGAGATCACCTCACTGCAGGTGATTGGGGGCGGGTCAATTAGTTCAGAACTCCTTCGGGTCTCCGTTGGTCTCGCAGCCGCAGCCCGAGTCTGGGCCTCGTGGATTCCTCAGGCGCACACCCTCCGCACCGAGCGGCGACCCATCGTGGACTGGCACCGCGTGGAACAGCGACAGGGGCGTGGCGTCGACCTCGGAACTGGTCACCTCCATCTCGGGCTCAGGCTCGGCGGTCTCCTGGGCGCCGAATGAAGCCGGGCCCCCACGAACTGCGAGCGTTCGGCTAGGTCCCTGACTGTGGTCCAGATGTAGGGCTCGATGTAGGGCATAGGGGATGGTTGGAGGGGTCATAATTGCTAGGGATCCAGTGGTACCTCCTCAGGTTCGGCACAACTGGACCCGACCCAGGCACCGTCTCATGTCACAGTGGAGACAACACCTCACCGTACCTGAGGTACGGCACAACTGGATCCCTAGCAAATTAGCCCACAAATCCAGACTGAGATGTGTTGTTTTCGATGACCTAAGTCCTGACCGAGATCAAATCAGGTCTGTTCCTCCTATAAGTTCACCTGAAATGGACGCGTTTGTCAAAAGGCGCAGCTTATTGTGGACTTTGGGATGTGTATTTATTATTCTTTTTCAGGGTTCGGGATGAAACAGGTACACTCCAAGTCACCAAAATGGATGAACGTGGCTGCAAAAAGCCACATTCCTCTGCAAACAGGTCGTGCCATTGACTTCCAGGTTCTTGAGTCTTGCAACTTTACCCAGTGCATCCCAGGCAAACCACTATATAAGGAACCAGGGATGCTAGGTCGTTTTAGTCTTTGGAACCAACTGGTTACCAGCTATAGTGGTTTGCCTGGATGCATTGGGTTAGCTATTCGACTTCACAACCAACAGCTTTCTGCAAGGGGCACCTGCAGGGTTCAGGTGTGTGACACTGCACCCCTGCAGGTCCAGTCTGCAAAAGCAGGTTCAAAACCTTCCAACTCCACGACATATGAGGTCTGTGACTTGGTGGTCCCAAAATACATGACCGTGGCACGTTTTCCAATCATGCATTCTTAGGGAGGATCTACTTGTCCATCTTCTTAGAAGGTCTTTTCGTAGGCTACGCTTGAGAACTTGGATCCTCGGTGCTTTTTCTGGTGGCATCGATGGTCCACCAAAGCCAGGTCCAGTCCAGTGACACCCTCGATCGAAAACGAACATCCTCCATGAGCACATCAGGCCTGTCAGGGTCCCTGGCTTGCTTGCTTTGATGGGTTCTTTTGGGGCCCCTCGTGCTGCGGCCCTCGCGGCCCGGTGACCGCCCGCGCGTGGCGTCCAAGGGGCGGAGTCGCTCTGGAGGGACTGGGCGGGCGCCGGGTCGTCTGCCTGCGACCCAGGGAGTCCCGGAGTCGGTGAGAACGACCAAGCCCTGGGCCTTAAGGCCAAACGAGGGCCAGTCCCCGTATATAGTGCTGGGAGCTTCACAAACACCCCGTGAGCTGCCGACCTTCAAATAGTGTTTCTGCGTGGTGAAAGTAGGGCACCTTTTTGCTTACATGGAGTGTCTGGAAGAGAGGGGATTCGTTCAGTCGATGATTCGGCATTTGACAAAACAATGACAATACGTAAGTACTTGCATTCAAATCAGCCAAAAACCGCTTTTGCCCGGATTGCTTTTGCATTTAGACGGGACATCTCTGGGCTTTGTGTGGACATCCCTGTCTTTTTGCTGGAATTTCCCAGATCGCCATGGGACTGGCATAAGTTGGTATATATATAATACATATAAAACTATAGAATTTCACTTGGTTTCAACAGTCAGCCTCTCGGAGCCCATGGAACCATGGGATCTCTGCTTTGATCGGCAAAAAAAAGAACCAACGTCTTTTGAGTGGTTGGTGATCCAAAGGCCTTTGGACTTTGGGCGGCTCCAAGCCGCCTGGCCAGCCTGGCCAAAAAGACTTGATACGGACGGTCCCGTCCTCAAATGCTTGCATATTTACAGTACCTACATGTTGACCCCAGTCACCCACCCCAATGTACCAGGACCTTCCAAGATAACATATATATATATATATAGAGATGGCCCCTTAGTCTAATAGGAAGTAAAGAACCGCCTGTTGGAAGGTCCTGGTATATGCCCACATTGACTATCATTGACCCCTGAAATCAACCAGTTCTGCCCGCTTCTCAACCAAGGTGTGCGTCCCACTGGGTTTCAAGTCCCAGTCTTTCAACCAGTCCTGTCAGTGCTCGGTCTGCCCCAAGGTTGGTCCCGCCTGGGCCTGTCGCGTGTTGCGGGCGATTTTCCGGTTCATGCCTCGGCACGGAGACGCTCCGAGACGCTCCGAGACACTCCGAGACGTCGGAATCCAGACGAAGGAGCCCTGCTATGAAAAACAACTAGAGATCCTAATTCTCAAACAGTCCATGGGACTGGCATGCTCACACCCCACATGATCTACCTTTTCCCGTTTTTCAGTTCGTCCACTCTTCATGTTTTTGAGTTCTTCTATGTTTTTCCAGTTGGCCAGTTGTGTTTCTGCACTAGGTTTCCTCTGTGTGGAATAGATTGTTGCAATACGTTGACGAGATTTAAGCAGTGAAATCAAAAAGTCAACAAAATAACTTAAAAGGGAATCAAAAGACATCAAAAGGAACCTAAAGGATAATCAGCAAACAAACAAACAGAATTCCAAAAGAGGGAACTCACACATAAAAATAAAGAACTATGAACAGCGCAAATCTGATTGCAGGGGGTGTCTTCATTAAAACCAAACAGGGCAAACACTATTGTTATAGGGGGTTGAAATATGTAATTAAAGAGCTCTAGTGTACTGGGCCAACCCCTCTGTGGAATACATGTTTGCATTAGATGATATATTATATGAGGGTTTAACAGGAAATTCACAAACAATAACTTAAAATGCAATCGACAAAAACCAAAGCGATTTCAATAGGAGCCAACACGAAGACAAAGGAGCTCAATAGGTAATCAATGAAAACCACAAGGAGGTTTAACAAGGAGCTGTTCAAAAAAGAATTCACAAATAAAGAAAAACACAAACAACATTGCGGGGGAGTGTTTTGAAAGGTCATACCAGGAGCAAAGTGCAGATAATGTTTGAGAGGGTAATATCACTGCAAAATGGAAAAGTGCAAGCCAAGGGGTGTTAGTATTAATGTGAAAAGGGGCAAACATTAATTAGAGGGTTTTCTGATTCAAGTTTGCAAGCGTACTGAGCTAACCCCTTTGTGGAATAGTTGTTTGTCATACTTTTGATCAAACATAAAATGTGAATTATATACGTACAAGAAATTGATGAAGTAATTTAAAGCGAAATCCAGAGGAAAGGAGGTCAATCGAAAATCAAAAAGAACCAAAAGGAATTGTGAAAGGGATCTTACATGATCTTACAAATAAAGAAAAAAACACATGACAAGTGTAGACGTGACTGTAGGGCCAGGGCTGTTATTGTGAAACACTGGGCTAACCCAAACAGTTTAAAGAGTTTAAAAGGACATCAAAAAGGCCTCAAAAGGAATTTGAACAGACATCAGTTGGAATCACAAAGAATGTAAACGGAAATCGTTCGAATTCTAAAGGATTAGTGCTACAAACTGGCTGTTGAAGAATATATATATATATAACAACTTATACGTGTTAAACCTGCTAAAACACATTATTAAGATACATGTTTGTCAACAACGACAAAACAAAAACGAACACAAATACACAACAAACAAACAAAACCAACACAACACTATTGTTCGGGAAGTTTGGTTTCATGTTTAAGTTTAAACAATTGTTTAAAGGGGGAGGTGGCTTTATGTCTTTTAGACTTCCTTTACTTATCACTTTTGAAAGACACAAAACGACATATAAATATACATACTGATACGTATTGCAATCTTATTGGCAATCTTAGACTACAAACCAATAGGCAACAACAAAAAAAACAGAAAACCAAAAAATCTGAAACCAAACTTCCCGAAACATATTTTGTTTTGTTGATTCTTTTTGGTTTGTGGTCAACAAAATTATAGTGCTAGGAGGTTTTTGCGAACTTTCCCTATATATACAAAATATTGGTGTTTGAACCGTGGTATTAAAAGCATGTTTTCAACACGTCTTTATAATTTATTGAAAACACATTTGTAGTCGTCAGCTAGTGCGGAGCACTGATTTCTGATATGGTAAAAACAGCACGTTTGCATGGGCAGGCCAACAGAAAACAGCTCTAGGTATAGAGAGATAGGGTGGACATTGGGGTGGTTGATTTGGGGTCAATGCAGGTCAATATGCCAGTCCCATGGAGTGTGCGGGATTTGACTCTGCAGCACACTGAAAGCATCAGGAAATGGACTGACTCAAATCATCAAGGTATGTCTCATTACGTAACAGTGGATGATGATGATGATGATGATCAGTAAAGGCCTTTCTCAAAAATCGTGATCATCCTTTACTGACAGCTACTAGTAATGGGCCAACACACTAAGTCAAACCAGTTCTTCTTTGCCGAAAACCGGGTGGTCGACCTTCCTTTGGTCTTCGCCCGTTCATTCATTCTCCGCGAGTCCGTCGCCAGCCCCGGCTTCATGGGGGGACTAGCAGTTGTACATACAAAACCCATACCAGGACCCTCCTGTCGGGGTGCCCTGTCTGGAAGCCTATAGGTAGTCCAGCCAGGACACCCCGACAGGAGGGTCCAGGTACACTCCATGTATGCCATAGGCAGTCCCATGGAGCGTCTGGGAAATTGAACCTCCAAATCAACCACCCCCAGCTTAGGGTGGTTGATGGATACCCCTTAGCCTCTAAGGAGCTATAGTTAGACACCCCGAAACGGGGGCCCTGGCCCTGGCCATTTCTCGGTGGATGTTCAGAGCCGAGCGGCGCTTGCGACGGCCGAGCTCGCCGTGGGGGCAGAGGTGGCAGTGCCTGCGGCGAAACTGGGACCCCCGGCTCGGTGTTCTAGGCGGTAGGGCGGTAGACGTGTGGTGAAAGAACCCAAACACTCCATGGGACTGCCATATATGCCGATCAATTGGGGTGGTTTGAGGGGTCAATGTAGGCATATATGGCATACATGGAGTGTCTGGGGAAGGTCAATCAAATCACAATCACATGTTTTGAAATCAATCCCAGACACGACCTGGCTGGGACTGCCATAGGACTGCCGATCAGTTGGGGTGGTGCCAGAGGGGTCAATGGATCGGCAGTCCTATGGCAGTCCCAGACAGGTCGTGTCTGGGAATCCTGTAGATGATAAGCGCAGATCCGCAAAGGATGACACGCACAAATCATGAAGGGTACCCAATTCGGACGCCATGTCCAGATGTGATGGACGCGTGGAACGGACTGGCATCCGCCGGAAAGGAGGGGGGGAACTGGGGAACTACTACAGCGTGCCATCAAAGACTGACTGGTGCGACTCGTAGGGAATAAGGGAAGGAGCTTGCCCCCCAATAGAGATTCCATTGGATCCAGCCGGATCCATTCCCTGCGTTCGTCGCACTGCACCAGTCAGAAGAGGTGCAACCGACGAGACCCGGCGCTTCGGATCTGGAAGGTTGACATGTTCGACCCCAAGGACCGGCCGATGACAGCATCTGTAGCACCCTGCTCGTCCTCAACGGCGTCGACAGCACGTACCACCAAAGGCCTTTTGTACTCATAGAAGCTCTCTGGCAAAAGCTGTGCAGCTTCTCTGCAGTAGTCAAGCTTGAGATGTCGATTTGCTGATGTTCTTCCAACATCCCAAACACTTCGCCCACGTGGAGGTTGATGGAATAATCCAAAAGGATCTCTCCTGCCTGAGCACTAGTGCAGGAAGAAGAACAACAATAGTGCAGGACCACCACCATACATGTTCTTTCTTTCTGCGCGCCTAGTGCCTCACAGAGGCTCTGCACCTTGCTGGCCGAATTCTGAATTAAGGGGGTAGGAAGAAGTCAGGCCTGGGAGCCTTTAGCTCTTTGATTATATTTATTTATGTGGTGTTACAATCTTATGTTCTTCATCTCTTATGCTTATAAGGATTTAATTTATGTCTCTTCTTGGTCATCATCAGATTGAACAAGTTGTCGCACCCAACTCATTCCCCAGCCATCTGACGCGCCACCGCTGCGGTTGCTGTTGGCTAGCCACCGCTGTGTTTCAGTTCCGCCGCAAACATACAGAACTTGGGCAGGTGCTCTTTCAAGCGGTTGGTCCGCCATCCATATCAGACATCCCAATCGAAGTTCCTTTGGAATAGACCGGGTCTCTCATTCTCATCTGTAATCGCAGTTCACTGCCTCCTGTTTGGAGACTCCCGCCAAAAGCAAACAGGTCGGCCTTGGACTCGACTGTCCATAGAATCTCTGGCAGACGCTCAACAAACAAAAAGCTCCAGTTTGCATGAGCCACTGTCAGTCCAGGAAGCCACCCATCACTTCCTCCTCGCCCTGAGCAGCTGGAGGATACCCTCTCCGTTCTCATGTCCTGCCACGAATGGACCAAGATTCCCAGACACGACCTGTGACTGCCATAGGACTGCCTTCGAAACGGGCGTTCGGGGTGGTGCCAGAGGGGTCTGGCTGTTTCTCGGCAGTCCGTCCTGGCAGTCCCAGATCCTCAGCCACTCCGTCGCACTCGGCGCATCGCCAATTGGGCCGAGAATGGCATCCACCGGGTCCGGTGAAGGGGTCCGGTGAACAGCACTGGTAGCGGCCAGGGGTACCGGCCGTTCAGCCGCCGGGCACCATTGAAATTCTGTGACCGATACGCAGAATCGAAGAAACGCTGAATGTCCACCCCGTCACTTCCATCATATGATGCGACCACTCGGCTGAGATGAACCAACCCAATGCAGGCCCCAGGGCCGAATGGCTTGCTTGGAAGCCTGGGTCTGGTGGTCATGCAACGCATGGCTCAGTAGCCATGGGGTACTGTAGGATAAGCTTTTAAAATCGACAGGGCACGTCGGTCTGTGAACGCTCGCCCGATGAAATGTCGCAAGAACAGAAAGCCTTTGTTCCTTTTCTTTCCGAGGTCCGGGACCTGGGAAACAAACTTTCACTACTTTCCACTTGCTCTGGATCCAAGACCTCTATAGCGCCTGGCAAGCGACAGAAAGCGAGCTCTCTCCTTCGAGCAAGCTGCCGGGCCAGCTTTCCCTGGGTGTGTGGCCTTCTGACTGCTGGCATGAGCCAAGGTGCTACGCAACCAAAAAGCCACAGGCAGCAAACTCAAAGGGAAGCAGCCTCTTCAGAGAGAAGCCTGGCACATATGCCAGAATCCAATTCCTGCACAATCCAAGAGAGCATTAACCACCACTTCTGCTATCTGCAACACAGAGGCTTGCCAAACATCCCTGGAACCTCTCTCATATAGAGCAGTTCGGTTCCTTTCCTTTCCATTTCAGAACGGCGCAAAGACTTAGATCTCATTGCAAAGACTGTCTGTCAGCTGCAGAGAAGCAGTCATCTTTGGTCAGAACCACCCCCCGACAAAAAAAAAACAGAACAAGCTACCACCAGCGTGCGCAAAACAGTGTCTTTGTGAGCATCTGTCAGCTGTGAGCATCTGTGACAGCATCTGCCTACAATCAATACAATTCTTAAAGCCAAAAAACAAAGTTCAGACCTATGTCTCCTGTCCAGCCTCTCCTGGGTATCTCTCCATGGGTCTGAACTTTTTTTAGAACTAGAATTGGCAACCCCTTTGAATTCAATATTTAATATGTTTTAAATTTTGAAAGGTGATAGTTGGTGACCAGTTTTTTCCTATGACTGCTTGTTTTTGTTGTCTACATGTAATGCTACATCTGGAATTCATTTTGTTCTAAAACCTGGGCATAGGACACAGAGATCAAATCAATCTGACAAGGCGTGTTCGTCCATGTGATAAATTTTGTTTGACAAATTTTTGTGTAGATACCAAAGCAGCGCTCTTCTGGCGAAGCATGAAAAAGTGCACGCTCACAGTGGCCAGCGCACACACACAAAAAATAGTTTAAACAAATAACGGAGAGGTTGACCCCACGTTTATTCATACGCATCTATCATTAGGGCCCCCTTTTGTAGCTCTTATTGTCAACACAACATTTGGAGCACCTAGGGGGAACTCAACATCGTCAATAGTTGCACGTGACTCATGTTTGAGCACACGTATCGAAGAAGGCTGTGCGGGAGCCTTCTTCAACTCCGATGGTGATTGCGCGTGAACTGTTTGGTGAGTATTTCGGTGAGTATTTCTTCATTCATGTCCTCTCCTTCCACTCAATGGAGCCAACATAAAATAAAACATAGAACATTAATCCCCTTGGATATGCCTGAAACAAAATCCATCATAATGTAGACTCTTGATCACAGTGCAAGACCCCAAGCCTGATTTCAGGTTCCACGCTGTTTTAGAATACATGTCTGCGGGGACGTTTTCTGAATCAAAGGAGTCTACATGATCATGCCGTTGTCCCAATCATTCATCCAAATTCAGTCCTAAACGGAGCGTCTGGGACTGGCACATCTGCCGAGAAACGGGCGTTCGGGGTGGTGGTTTCAGGGGTCCATATGGGTCCATGGGGCGGCACATCTTCCAATCCCACGGAGCGTCTGGGACTTGCAGAAGAAGCACAGGGGTGAACGCCTCCACCGGCCAGTCGCTGTGGCGACCACCACTCCGAAACAGGCGCTGAGATTGACACCAGGTGAGGTGACTTCACCATACCAAGAGAGGTTGAGAGGTTGAGACCAGGACCCTGTAGTGTGTATACATTATGGGATGGGCGAAAACGGGGCTGGCCAACCTTTCGCCATAGGGGCCCCACCAACGCCGAGAACGATCGAACTTGCTTCGCCCCCGACGCAAACCCGTGACTGCCTGCACTGGGCGCCATTCATGCATCCTGGGAGCGCCGAACTGGAATTTGGGAGGTTCGACCGATCTGGAATCCCTTGGGGAAGGGCTCTGAGTCCGGAGTCTGGGATCAGCTTGGGGGTTCGATGGTGGAAGTAGGACCCTTTGGAGGCTGTTCGGCTGTTTGGAGCCAGAGGATGAACTAAAAGCTTTGAATTTGTCCAGACTACACACCCCCCACGATGCTCGAAACCACCACGGGGCGCCACCCGATCCTCGGCGACTCTGAGAGACTAGACCTGACGTGACGTCGTTTTTCAACGATTCCTATACCCCTCCCGATGCGGCACCTCTCCGTCCAAAGCGATCGAACTCCACCTGTTCTATATCTATACTCCGAGAGGTCCAATCTCCCCAAAATGACCCGTTTTCCCGGTGATCACTTTCTTCGGATGGTCTAAAGGACGATTTGTTCTTCTCTTTAAACGTGCATACTGCATGCAGATCTAGAAGATGGTGTGTTTGCACCTTTGAGTGACACCTCTTTGGCATGGTCTAAATCATGCACGCTTGCTCCCACAGCTAAAGCCCTCAAGCACCGAAATCCTCCGTGCTTTGCCACTGGGATCATTTGCGCCCAAACGCGACCCCGTTCGGCCCCGAATCCTCTTGCAGAGGTCGGACCCGAATCCTCTTTTTGGGGGTCGGACGGGTCTCAATTCCGGTTTTGAGGGACCAAGGACTGTGAACGGAGAGTCTGGGCAAAGCATTATTCTCGTTGGGCTCCGAACGCCCCACCTCCTCAGGTTTGGTAGTGGTCGACCCCACTGGCACCCACCCCAGTCCCACCGGTCACCGAAACGGAGGTGGGCGGTTCGGAGCCCCAAAAAAATGATGGAGAAATGGTGATGCCTGGCAAAGGAATCTGTCTCAAATGGCACCAAGGATCCACCCCTAGGGATCCAGTCGTGCCGAACCTTCTCAGGTTCGGTACTTGGAGGCACTGTTATGTAGATTTGGAGGGTCCAGTGGTACCGAACCTGAGGTTCGGTATGACTGGATCTAGGGCAATTGCATGTTGGAGATTACCTGGAGTCGACCCCTTCTTAGCTCTGAAAAGCAGTACAGTCGTACCTCTTGGTTATAGGGGACTTTGTCTTTGTCCCATGTTTTAGGGGACTGTGGAGGGTCCAGGTATTCTCTCTTAACATGCTGATGGTGTTCATTCCTTTTCATGCAGCCCAGCCGGCGATCATCTCCCAAGCTCCGGCTGGATGACGCTTATAGAACACCAGGACCAGCACAGGTACCAGCACCCGACCTGGGAAAACATCAAACACCATGGAACTAATGGACACATACCAGGACCCACTGTCAGGGGGTGGTGGACACCCCGAATCACATCTTTTCGGGGCGATCAATAGAAGCCGTTTCTGGCCTTACTACTAGGAGCAAGGACGCTACTAGGGGTTCCTGGTATGTCATCTTACCCCCCCCCAAAAGGGGAAGTTCACCCCTTCGGGATAATCACCACATCACCCCTCTTTCTCAAACTGGACCAGCACGGAATCAGTCAGCGCGCCTCCGCGTCTCCACCGCGTAGAGACGTCGCGCGTCGCGCGTCTCGACGCCTCCAGGTTTCCAGTACCAAGCACATGGCTTGCAAAGCCCGACCCTTGGTGGACGATTTCGCTGGTCCAGGTGGCACCCCTAGGGAAGTGGCACCCCTAGGGATCCACCCCGAAAAAGGGCTCCATCCTAGAAGGTGGATGGAGTGGGTGCCAAGGGGGGCTTCCAAGCAACCTAATTCTAGTTGTTAATTGCTTTAGTAAGGACTCAGGACTGTACACTACACCAGGGCGTTCCCACTTGAAAAACATGGTTGACTGGACTTCCAGGGTATCTCGACCTACTTTCACAGGATCGGGTGCCCCGATCACCGGCCCGATCACCTATGGATTCCCGAACCGGAACGTTCCGGGATTACCATACGGTACGCCTCTTCTTTCGCAGGTGCAGTCGACCTCATTTCACTGGAGTCATGCCCAAATTACGCGACAGTACGTACTGTACCAGGACTTTCCCAACAGGTGGTTTTTGGACACCTCCTAACCACCTGAAAAGGCTTATAGAATTTTATAGACACCTCTTGGTGGGCCTGGTACAAGCGGGATTGAAACGGATCAGGCTTGGACCTGACTCAGTAGGGTCTGGGGTGCCAATGGGTGCCACCCACGCACCACAATCCGAGCCGGGTGACACGACCAACGCGGGTGAAGCAGTTCTGCCCCGCAGGTCGGAGTTGAGTGCTATCCATGTTAGGAAGGAATTGGGTGCCCAGCTATCCCAGTTTTTCGGGACTAAACACCACCCCTAGCCCTTGTGACTCCTGGTTCATGTTTGCTTTTCTCCCATCTCTCATGTGAGGGAGGCATATGAAGGAGATAAGAACATGGGCTTTGGATGAATTCGCAGCTGTAGCGACCAAAGAGGGTTCCTACGACGCTGCCACGATTCGGGTGGGTCTTCGATCTCTGGATTCGCAGCTCCCATGTAGATGGGCTGTCATAGGCTTTAGATGGCTAAAGAGCCTCTGGTCTACAGGTTTTAGCCTTTGGAACCAAACCCAAACACTCCATGTATTCCATATAGACCTATGTTGGGGTGGTTTTGGGGGTCAATTGATCGGCAGTCCTATGCAAGGACCACACGTCTCCCACCTGACTCTACCATGGTCACCTCCTAGGTCCGAGGCCATACGACTCGGGGTGGTCGTTCTGAACTCAGACGCTGCGGACACTGCTCGGCTGCGCCCAGGAACCGGTGTGATGTGGAACCGATGGAATGTTCACCCTCATGGTCTGTGTCTTCAGCCTTCTCAGCCCTGCAGCGCATCTCGATGGAGGGCCGATGTGACAGCCCTGCGTGCTTCGACTCCTTTTGAGAGGCTGAGTGACCTCCGTTTTGGACCACTAAACATGGTCTTTTCATGTCTGTTCCACTCGAAGGTGCGGCTGGGTTCTAGGTATTCACACTGCAACAACCACACGAGCGGATGGAGAACGTCCAGGAACCGGGAATTCAACACATGATTCCCCAGGAACCGGGGATTTACCCATCCCTAAGAATCCGGTTCGCAACACATCGGGTTTGGTTGGGCCGGGTCCGGACCCCTGCGTGAAACGGTGGAGAAGGTCCGACCACTGCCGAGCCCGAACTGGGTGGTCCGGGTACAGGTCTTCAAGGTCTGGTAGCGACCCAAACGGAGACTGGCCACATACACGTGGAGTGGAGTCGGCTGCGACCTGCCGATCTAGGTTCAGGATTTGCTCATACCAGGGCCCCAGCCCCTTAAAGCTTCAGGGGCGTCCAAAAACCTGCTGAAAGGTCCTGGTAGGGACCCAAAACATGAAATCATCAAGAGGCGACACACAAACAACGAAACCAACAGGAACTCCACCCGGAAACCCTGGTCCCAACAAAGGTTGAGTGACCATAGACCCGTAACCTGGGATACCTATGGGGGAGTCGAACTGGGGTTCTTCAACCTCTATTGGTTTCACCATATGCGAACCAGACTGACACTTTTGTAGGGTCCCGAACCTCAGGTTTGCTTTGATAGTTGGCCTTCCAAAAACACCACGCTTGGCCGGCTTTTCTCGGTCGACTGGTCCCAAGTGGCTGATACGAGGAGGCGGACTGATTCGAGTCATCTTCCACATCTTCCGTCCTTGCCGCGCCGGAAGGCGGACTGGCTGCGGCTTCGGACCCGGTTCGCCACACCGACACCGGGTCCGAGACTGATGGGACAGTCGAATCTGGCCCCAGGGGACTGGTGGCTTGTGGGTGGGGAATGTATACCAGGACCTGTCGGGGTGGTTGACACCGCTTAACATCTAAGGGGCTATCAATATAGAAGCCCCTGGTCCGGGGGTCCTGGTAACCTGGTATAAGGTTATTTATTTATAAGAGTCACGCACAATATTTCTTATGTGGCTCTTTGCATTGCTAAATTCGGCAGTCCCCGATCGTTTTCCAATGTTCAGGACATTCTACTGCACTAAGTGCAACCCCCTATCCTTTTCCGAGGTTTAGGACATTGTAGCACCAAGTAATAGGTTTTAGTGATGGGATTTTTTGCCTCCATGCGAAAACGTTGCGCTGCTGGCACTTTCGCGGAGGATTCACGAAGAACCAATGTGTGGAGCTGTTTTGTCCTTGTCTCGAGCAGCTTGGTTGCACTCCCGCAGCTAAGCGCACATGTCTTCAATTTCCACTATGTCCGGCTGCTTGGCCCGTGCCCCTTTCAAAGAGAGCAAACAAGCGGTCAGCCTCGCTTTGAAGCGCTTCTCCACTCCGTAATGAACTATCACTTCCGTCTTGTGGCTTGGCATCTGAATGAGATAGTGGAGAGCTTCATAAGCTCTGACATGGGGGCTGTCTGACATCAGCTCAATTGCTCAATGGTTTCAATCTTCTCCCTTCCACGCCGCTGTGGAGCTGCGAGACAGGAGTGCAAGTGTGATCAAGCACCTCGCTGATGATGAGCACCCATGTCCACAAGACAGCGTCACCCTCCCTTTCGCTAAGAATGGCTCCGAAGACCGATATCTCCTTTCTTGCTTTGGCTAGAAATTCTTCGCCAGACTGGACAGTCCTCAAAGGCAGCCTCACCAGCTCCTTCAAATCCAAGAGGCACCAAATGAGTTGAATCTGGCTTGTTCAATATCTGTGTCTTTCGCGGTCCTTCTGAAAGGACTTGTTTTTCAGCTCTGTGGAACAAAGAGCTTCGGGCTGTCAAGGTCCACCCCCAAAGACGCGAACAGCTCGACGAACAGGTGCTGTGGACATCCACAGGAAGGGCCGTGTGCCATGGAGCAATCCGCAGAAGTTGCTTCCACAACTGGCATAGACGCATGGATTCTGTTCTGACCCAGACGCGACCTGTCTGGGACTGCCAGGGCGGACTGCCGAGAAACGGCCAGGGGTGGTGGTGCCAGGGGGGTCTGTCTGGGGCGGCAGTCCTATGGCAGTCCCATGGAGCGTTTGGGTGATGTGATGTGAGGTGTACTGCATCAGCTCCCGGAGCCGCTGCCGATGGTCTGGGGCTCCGTCGATGCCTAAACATCTAAGTAGCAAGGCAGGGTCAGGCAGGAAGAAGTCCTCCGAAATGGAACTGTCGAGGATTCCTGTTGGGAATCGTCTAGCTGCTTGGAAACCGCCAGGATCCGCCAGGATTTTGAGACACCACCAGGTGCTTTACATCTGCCCAGACGCTCCAAACAGCCCTTGGTCCCTCAAAACCTAAGGAATTGAGACCCCAGACCCCTCCATATGAGGGTCCCACCCCTCCATATGAGGGCCCATGAGCGTCTGGGTGGTGAAAGTCTTGTATGTTTTGTCGGACTTCTTCAGGCTGGACAAACCATCCTTCTTCTCAGACAGTTTCCTGTTCTACATCGAAAAAAGGGGTGCGGGGTCCCGGTTTCTATGCCCTTTCCATTGGAGAAAAACTATTTGTTGTGGTAATAATGATTTTGGTCAATAATTGGGTATATAAACAATAAAAAACAATTGGTGATACTCCATGGGACTGCCCATAGGACTGCCGCCCTATGGACCCCTCAAACCCCAACTGATCGGCATATATGGCAGTCCCATAGGTCGTGTCTGGGTTTAGTGGGGAAACCAATCCCCGGGAAGGGTTACACTCCACTGACTTGGTAGGCCCACAAGGGGTGGTTACAGCAATAGACTCACCCCAGCACCTCTTTCCAGCGCCATTCTCACACCAAACGAACCAGGAATTCCTGGCATAGACCGGTCACGAAACGGACCCGGAACAGTTCTGGGCCGATAGCAAAATCCTTACCCTAGGGATCCAAGTACCTCCTCAGAAGGTATGACTGGACTCGACCCTGGCACCTACATCAAAGTGTCTCCGATTACCGAACCTGAGAAGGTATACTTGGATCCCTAGGGTTAGTAAACAATGGGTTTGTTCGGATCAATTTGTCCCAGTCCGACCGCCATCTGGGACTGCGGACTGCCGAGAAACGGCCAGGGTGGGTGGTGCCTGGGGGGTCAATGAGCCAAACAGGTCGTTCCTCCAAACTGTTGGTTGAAAGCCTAGGTATCGTCGAGCTGGAAGCACTGGTTGCCTGCTACAGTATGGGCCCGGTGGCCTTCCGTTTGACTTGGATTTGCTGTCCAGGAAGCTGGAAACATAGAACCTCAGAAGGAGATTTAACCATGGGGAACATATAAAACCACGCAAACCCACCTTGACTTGACCCTTAAGCAACATTTTTCAACGTCTGCTTTGAGCTGGTTTTTTGCCGTGTCAAACCGCTTATAAATACCCTAGGGCTCCAGTCGTGCCTCCTCAGAAGGTATCTGGACCTTCTGAACCCACCCCAGTCCCCCCTTCTGAGAAGGTACTTGGAGCCCTAGGGATATTGTACCATGTCAAACAGCCTCTGAGACCCACGATGTCCGCCAAGCCACGCTTCGCTGCTCCTCGGTGGGGGCGGTGCACTGTGGCTGCGGGCCGCGAGCCCGAGCCTCTGCGCGGAATGCGCTGCGGTGGCGCTGCGCATTCCGGTGGGATCTGGATAGACGATGTGGGAGATTCTGGGGGTCCCACCATCCAAACCAAGGGGAAATGGACTCCCACCGCCGTCGAAGCAATTGCTTTCATTTCGACCGACCAATGGTCGAACGGAAGGCTAAAGCATAAAACGTGTCATGCATGGTGGTAGTCAATATGGGTACCGGAACGTAGACTGGAGTCCAGTCAGCCCTTGCAAAACCTCACCCTTTTTACTCTGTTGTTTTCTGAAGATCATTGCATCAATCACATCAAACTCACCCTTAACCTCTCCTACCTTTGGCGCCTGCCGCCTGCCCATGCTGCTCGCTATACCTGCCCTGGAGGTGGCCTAGCGATTACCTCCACCTCATCCTTTCCCTCTCCCTATCTCCCACCCTCCGTCAACCCCCACTCGCCGTCTCCTCCTCCCGCTCGTGCCGCACGGTCCTCACCTCGCGCTTCCAACCTGGCCGAGCAGCGAAGTCCGTGGCTCCGAAGGCACGAATTCCAGGAAGGTCTGCTTCACGACCAGCTCGAAGACTTGCTCCTCGGCCCGTCCGGTCGCGGTTCGCTCCGCAGGTGCAGAGTCAGGGGGGTCCGGTCCGGGAGAAAGCGAGCAAGGGCGAGCGAGCGAGCGAGCGAAGCCGGATCCGAGGCCGGCTGGAGTCTCAGTTCGGTCCGGACCGTGAAGTAGTTAACAGTTGTTATGTTGCATGGCTTCAGTCTTCCAACCCTAGGGCTGGCCCATCTCCTCAGGAGGTGGTTAGACCCCCCAAATCCACCCACCCCTGGCCCATCTTCGAAACGGAGGTGGTTGGAGCCCTAGGGCAAGTACTTGTTCAGAAACTCTTTGGACCCTTCAAGCCCATCCCAAACAGCACGGAGCACGAGATCGCCCGAGGTTAAGGGATGGTCAGCCTGCTATGTTGGGGGCCTATAGGTGTGTCCAGATCCAGTGGACAAATACCGGTCTGCCAAGCGCATGGTCAATCAATATACCCTATAGGGCTCCAACCGCCTCCGTTTCGAAGATGGGCCAGGGGTGGGTGCCAGGGGGGTCTAACCACCTTCTGAGGAGATGGGCCAGGAGCCGGATATGTCAACCTGTTCGTTGGAAGTGGGGAAATCAACTCCCAGACACTCCATGTATGCCATATATGCCGACATTGACCCCTCAAACCACCCCAACTGATCGGCATATATGGCATACATGGAGTGTTTGGGACTTGCTTGGGTAAACGCTCCTACTTCCGATTCCAAGGAGTGCATGGATAGCCGCAGAAGTGCTGGAACGAGTGGCCGAAAAACCATCGACGTCACTGGAACAATATGCCGATCAAACATGGGATGATCTTAAGATGCTGCTCAATGTTTATATAGGTATATACCTGTAACCATGGATGGTCTGGGTTAGGTATCGTTCCGGAAATCCTCTTCGCTTGAATCATCCAAAGCCTCGCGACGTGTCGTCCCTGAAACAAACACACATTTGCCACGTCGGAGCGACCAAGCAAACCCCAATTTATGCATACCCCTAAGGGTCCAGGACCATCAGAATCGGATGTCCTTTGACCCCCCGTTCGACCATTCTCTGGAAGCACGTACTCACCTCCGTTCGACCATCCGAAGTACGGAGGTACCTGGACCCGATGGGTACCTGGAACTTCCATAAAGGTCTGTTGAACTACCGACCCCCCAAAATGCAAACACGAGGTTGCAGGTATCGCCATGGCCCGGCGTTCTTTCCATTGGGGATGTACCAGTCCCATGGAGTGGGACCGGGGGACCGGAACTCCTTCAGGCCGTTCCAAGTTCTTCATTCGGGTTCCGGTGATTTTGAACGAAAACAAACATCCTATCCCTAGCCTGAAAAAAAATCTTCAAAAACCAAGAATGGTGGACCTGGTGGTGGTACAACTCCTGAATCCAAACAGGCTTCTTCGGGATGACGCGATGGGGTTCCCAAACCGAGGCGTCTTCTCGGTGCGTTTGGGGCCCCGGCGCGTTCCTGTGCGTCCGCCATCTCGTTTGGCCTCTCGTTTGGTCCCACGGTGACCCGGGGAATCGAAGGGAAATCAGGATTCGGTACGACTGGACCCGACCGTTTTGGCACCTATATGGCCAGACACGACATATCCCAGACACGACCTATGGGACTGCCATATATGCCGATCAGTTGGGGTGGTTTGAGGGGTCAATGTAGGCATATATTGGCAGTCCCATGGAGTGTCTGGGTTAGTGGGACTACCAGGGCGGACTGCCGAGAAACAGCCAGACCCCTCTGGCACCACCACCCCTGGACGTTTCTCGGCAGTCCGCCCTGGCAGTCCCAGACAGGTCGTGTCTGGGTAACATGGCGTCGGTCTCACATCACCGTACCCGAGGTACGGCACGAAAACGGATCCCGAAAGATTCATACGCCAAGTGTGCGGACTGTTACAGGCAAGTGCGGACTGTTACTGGCGCCTCTGGGATAGTCGAACTAGGCTTCTTCCCGTTTGGGCTCCGAACGCCCCATCTCCTCAGGTTCGGTGGTTCGACCCCCCAAATCCACCCACCCCGAAGAAACGGAGGTGGGCGGTTCGGAGCCCAAACGGGCTTCAACCGGATCCAGGAGGGGTCCCGACACCCGGCCACGACGCGTCCCGGCACGGTCCCACCCGGTGGGTGGGGAGGGTCCAACAGCGAAGGTACGACTGGATCCCGAACTAGGGCTCCCTCAGTTCTTGTTTCTGGTGAATTCGAAGGTTCACCTTTTCCACCCTCAACAAAACACTCCATGGGACTGGACCCCCAAAGGGGTGGGGCTATTCATGGACACCCTTTCCGTGGTGCTGGGGACGGGACTGACATGGAAACTCAAGAAGGTCAGTGTAGGCATGTATGGATGCATGGAGTGTTGTGGACCCCCATCCGTTCGGTTTTCCCTGGCAGGTGATCCACTGACTTAGTTATGGATTGAGAGGAATTAATGGCACAAACCCCAATGTCTGTGGTTTATATGAACCTCCATGTAAAGGACATCTTGAGGTCTGTGCCATCTACTCTGAAACGAGGGGCCGGAGGTGAACACCTCGCCCCCGCCCGGTGTCGGTCGCCGCGGTGTCAGACCACCGACGTCGGTGGACCGGTTGACCAGTCCGCAAGCTCCGCTTCCCAAAGAGGTCCGCGATCAAATGGATGGTTGATGTTGGTTGCACTTGGTAATAAATAACTTCTTGTAAAACAGCTGCAAGAGAGGTTGAAGAATATAGACCATCCCATAGGTAATGTTGGATCACGATTAGTAAAGGGGACTTCTATAATGCTAAATTTTTCCAAAATTATTCAGACCCCCCTGATTGAAAAATGGTACCTCTATAATGCTATTTTTTTTTTGGCCCTAAATCGTTAAATTGGAAACCCAATTAATGAGGGTTTGAATTCCTTCTGAACCCTGTCCACCTGCACTCCCCCTCCCTTCCTTCTGAACCCAATTAAACCCTTTATAAAACATTGCGCCTAAACAAATTTTCAAGGTAGTAGACCAGGAAGGCACCTGATCCTCAATAATAAATTTGTTTT